TCCATGTAATCATTATGCATACATAGTGTGTGCACATTGGAAAACACATAGCCATTTAGTCTCCAAGTCAACATACTATGAAGGGGCAGAACCCCAGAGGTGGCCTGTTTATAAATGCCTGTCACTGGCCTCAGGTGGACAGTAAGTGACACATACCTCCCACATGGCAAAATCAGTCCTCATGAAGTAAAAGGCACTCGAGAGAGGGAAAGACAAACAGAAGGGACATATTTGTAATATCTCCAGATACCTTAACATGGACTTAAAATCACATAACCAATCCAGGGGAGAAAATATAAAAGGAAAGGACAGTGACCCCTTTATAAGTGACAGTGAACAAAGATGTGCTGGGATTAATTTATAGGTCTGATATATGTCAACATGATTTATTAATTCCCTGATAAAGTTTAGATTAACAATTCCCCAAAACACAGCAAAATGGATGCTGATGCTTCAGCAGGCCAATCAGATGGAACGTGTGCCTGTGGTGGGTGTGGACAGCCAGGCACTGGGCGTGCATGGCCCGGGGCCTATACAAAGTCTCTTCTGTGAACCAAAAAATGCTCTAAAAAGTCAAGTCTGTTTTTTTAAAATAGGAATGCAAGGGTCTGCGGTAATGGAGGACAGCCCAGGGGCTGCGGTGGCCCACAAGACTTGGATTACACGCAGACCTCAGTTCTCCTCTGGAACAGTCACTTTTTAGTCAAAGACCAGGTATAAAGCACTTAACTCCCTAGAACTTGGTTCATGGGGTGACTGTGGATAAAGCTGCATGTCCTGACTACCCTGAGGCATTGTTGTATGGCTCCAATTAGACACTGCAACCTACTTGCAAGACACCTGTTGGAGGCCACTCAAAGTTACATGCTGTGACAGGCTATGCACATGCGTGAATGTGTGATAAGGACACAGACAATGGCTTTTTCTTGTTAAACACCTACCCTAGTAAGAAAAGAACAGTAAACAAAATAATCACTCTGGGATGATTAAATCATCTCATGCCTCAAAGTTGCATGTTCAACACGAGATGTGGAGGAGGAGGATGGAGCGGAGGGGTGCACAGTGACCCCTCGGATACCCCCAGGTGGGTGCTTCTCTGCTTCTAAATTCTTTAAATCCTGGTTATCACCTTCTTCAGTTATGTGTCTCACTTCCCCCAGCAAACGGCTTAGAGGAAGATGAGTTTCCTATAAGGTGTTAGGCATCTTAGATTCCGATTTATAGCTTTGGCCATAATATTCAGAAAGACACATTGCTGACATGAATATAGTATGTTATTAAATATCCAAAACCTGAACTGAGCCCTGCATGTGGAAATCATAGCAGTGAAAAGGAAGAAGAGGATTTCTCTTTTCTTTTATCCAACCTTATGATTGGCACTATTATTTCCTTTAACCTGGATGATAGATTTATGAAACACTTAATTTAGAAAAGAGTTTCTGTTCATTATATTTCTTTTAGTTGTCACCTCCAGAAATCTCTCTGCAACAGAGGTGCAATAAAATCATGACTATTAAAGGAAACTTTACTTATAAAAAAAAAAAAGAACCTGGAAAGAAAACTATTAAGTAAAATGTTTAACTGATATAAAGACTGTAGAAAAGGAAATTAGGTACAAGAAAAAAGAAAATGTCATTTAAATCTGTAAGTCAAAAAATATTTTCACATGTCAATTATATGTTATTATTAAATTATAGCTTGTTGATTACTGAGCTCAAAAAAATTTAACATTTCAAAACTTAAAAGACAATTTTAAATAAGGTTTTAAGTGGAGGAATAAATTATAGAAAATAAAGTAAAAAGAGACAACTAAATAAAAATTTTCATTACAAACTTAAGCTAACAAATTGGTAAGCAGCAATAAGACCATGAAAGGACAGTGGGATTTGACTCTAATATATTTAAGAATCTTGAATTCATTTATGTCTCTAAGTATTCACATAGAAAAGCCATTTCAGAGGCTAGAATATATCTTCGTAATTAGAGGGAAGGGGCTGCATTGGTGTAAAACACTTTGCCAATGCATGAGACAATTACCAGTATTAGTAGGAGCAATAGCATGAGGATCAGATTAAGGATAATAGAAATAAAAAAAAGAGCAGAGATAATACAATAGTCATGATTTAGAAAGACACAGGAAAGCCTTCTCGACACCACCTGTAACCTGGATTGTATTGGAGGAAAGACTGGAAATGCTAATAAGGAATATGATTAAAGGTGGGCCTGTGGTTATAAATTGCTTTTTTAATGGTGATGATAGTAGCTGACATAGAGTATAATAAGAAGATGAGAATGTCAGTATCAATTTTTATTAGTGTCATGAACAATATACAGTATATTTAAATTAGCTTCATTTGTATTAGTATTTTTGTAATAGCTCTAGAAGCAATAACATGTCCAATGCATTCTAAAAAGAAGAACTAAATAAAGTTGCCAATGCTTTCTACAAAATAGCCATAACTTCTGCACTGTGGAAAATATGCTATATTTCCTAAGAGACTCAGAATTTCAGAGCACAACAATCTGAGGAATAAAGTGGAGAAGCAATTGTAGCAAATGGATAAAGGTGTACAAAATTAAAAGACACCAAAAATATAACCTTCCATATAATGCAGAACTTTTTTTCAAGATTTATATAAAATGATAATTAGGGTCTATATCTGGGATAACTTAAACCATTTAAGAAACAACTTGGGATCTGTTTAGCCCAAGCATAATGGTTCTGTTGAAAATAAGTAATTACAAAATTAACAATAATCATATGGTAATTTTTATAAACTGGTTCTTATTATAGAAAAACAGGTGAATTAGTTTTGTATATGAATTTTCCCAGCAATTATCCCTGGCTTTCTGAGTTGGTCTAATGGCAAATTAGGTAAAATTGAATATCTCATAAAAAGTAATTTTTAGAGAATTAGGAGAATAGGAAATATTATTTTTAATTAAAATATATTCCTTGTTTGACAGAAAACTAGGCTGTTAAAAAATAAACTATAAAAGTTAAAGTGTAGAATTTTAAAAATCCAGCTGCTAAGGACATGAACAATGAACTTCTTAAAAAAATATTTATGTTCTAGACACTATTGATTATATATGAGAGAAAACATAGATTGGTAGCTGAGAAGCTGACCTCTGAGTCAGAAGTCTGGATTGTTTACTAGTTGTATAGTCCTGAGCTATTTATATAAATTATTTTCACTTTCTTCACCTGAAAATTGGAAATATCATGATTTCTAACTTAAAAGGTTATTGTGAGGATTAGAGACAATAAAGTGATAAAGAATGGTCAAGAGTGTGTGGTACACAATAAGACCTCAATAAGTATTAGTTTTATTAGAATGATTAATGCTAATAAGGTTCTTAAATAGTAATTTCTATTTCTCAGAAAGGTTACATTAAACTTTTTTTCCACCCACAGAATTGCTTCTCCTTGCTAATTCCTTCCTTTTCTCTATGAATTATGCATTTCTCGTTTGGTTGAAGCACACACTTATTCAAATTTCTTTTCTTTTTCAAGTTATTTTGCAGGACACATACCTTTAAGGCCCTTTACCCACCTCTGAATGTTTTTGCTTCCCTAACAAGACTCCAGCTGAACAGGTGTCCCATCAGGTGAGACCACCATGAGTTCCTGGGCCTCCTGTCTCTGCAGCAGACCACTAGGAAACCCTTGCCTGGTATGGCAAACCTCCCATGCACTTTGAGCCCTTTATCATTTTAAACTTTTGATCATTCTACAGGGGACATAACGTCTCCAAACAGGATAGGAATGTTAAATGAAGGCAGATGTAAAAAGCAAGAATTTAAATGAGCCAGAAAATTTGGTCATTTAATCCTGTCCTAATGTGTAGATGTACTATAGGTTCTGCTCTATATCAAAGTAGTTAAACTGCTCAATGATGAAACTGACAATGTAGGCAGGACAACAGATTCCCTACTAACAAATTTCCACAAACAGCATCAGCTTGAAAGCTTATCCTCAGTTTTGATAGATGAATGTTCCACTAACAGGTGAACCAAAATGGTGACAAAATGAATCATGACACATGGAAATAACTAAGATAGCCCTTACTTCAGGAAACCACAGAACACAGTTGCCTTGAAAAATTAACCCTGTAAATTGTTAATGCCTACATTATAAATTTCAAGTGTTTCAGATGTTCTTACACGTACTCCAATTTTTAAACATTTCCCTGATGAGAGAACATGTGTAGACCATTATTTTCAGAAAGGTGAATGAGACAGTGGGTTTGGAAATTCCTGAGTTGGCAATAGCAAACCTAAAGAAGAGACAGGGACTCATCTTGTTCCTGAAACAATTTCTTTCAACAATATCACCAGTGCAGAAAAGGTGTCGTTGGCATGTGTTTCTTCTTAAAAATGTACTTAAAAAATACTATACCTTGACAAAGACACTGAAAGAACATCTAACTGGAATTTCTTCTGCAAAACCTACTATAGTGGAATTGTCATAATATTGCCTGAGGTGCATTCACAGTAGCTACAGTGGAAATGCATAGACACACCCAAAACTTATCAGTCACATTATCTTCAAATGTCTCTGTTAAAAAGAAATAATTATGTGGTTTCCTGATACAATTATCTAATTATTTAAAACAAAAAGTGGGAACTTAAGACTTGGGTTATCAGTTAATTGGGCTCATGGGTGACAGCTCAGTTCTTTACTTACCATCAGTACAAAAAAAAACTGCACGCAAAGGGTACACACAGGCAGCACACAGAGAAAAGTGAGGAATTACATTGCAGCAAAATGCTGTTGTGTTCTGTTATCAAAGTATTAGCTTTAATTGTTTTGAATCAATTATCAGTCATTTTTCCCTTTCTCTGCTTTTTTGGTGTATAGGCAGTGTGTGAAATAAGCCCACTGGCATATTCTTCACACTAAAACAGGGATTCTGAGGATTGAAAAATATAAAACATTCTAATAGTCAAAGACAATTCAATCCATATTAGAAAAAGTAATGTGGGGCAAATCTTACTTGAGCTCCTGGAGTAGAGAATCCATTGGCACTGGTGACAAAAGGAGGAAAGAGAAAAGAAAATCAGTTCATAATTTTGAAAACTGTGTGACTGAAACTTTTCACAATCCTGGAGATAAAGGCCAGTAATTGATTAGTACAGACCCCACTGAATTCCCCAAGGGGCAGATCAATCTTCTCTGGTTCTGGTACTTTGGAGATGAGTTATAGAAGACTATGATTGACCCTAAGGTCATGGGTTGGACGTTCTAAATACCTTTCTTTAGAGAGTCACTGAAAAATTACAGGAACATGAAGGACCTGAATCACTTTTTTTTTTTTTTTTTTAGGAGAGCAAGTGAGAAGCTTTTATTTAGAGATAAAGTGAGAGAACAGAGCTCCTGGCTCATGCCAGGAAGGGACAAGAGAGTCCCGGGGAGGTGCGTTGTCTGGGGGTTTTATAGGTGGTTGAGAGACAAAAGGCTAGGGATGCACACCTGCTACATGGTCCCAAAATGTTTATCCTTGAAGAGACATTAAGTTTCTTATTAGACGTCCTGGTTATTTACAAGAAAGTGACTGCTCTGATTTCCTCTCAGGATAGCAGCTTCCTGGTCTGGGGGCATATCACTCAAGACTGCCTGCTTTGCTCCCAAGATGGGCTGAGTTATTGTCTGTTAAAGAGTATGTTAAGAAACTTATTTTAACTAATTGGGCTTTAAAATGCAATCTTATTTTCAAGATGGAGTCCTTCCTATTTTCTGTTGTTTTGGGCTTGCTTATTAAATTGCCCAGGTTGCAAATCCCTTGTTTAGGGCTGGAGGAAGAAAAGCAGCACCTGGGTAAAGTCAGAAAACTAAACTGGGCCCCCCAGCAGGTCAAAGCAAATCTCACAATGGGTTATCTTGCTTTGTGTTTTCCTGAGGCCCTCACCTACTCTGTCTAAGCCCATGGTCCCTGTCTCATTCCCCCCTCTACAGATGGGAACCCTAGCTGCTGCTAGCGGAAAGGGGGTGACGACTGCTCTGGCTGCTTCATGCTGAGAGGTGATGCAGTAAAGGGTGCAGTTAGGTCTTCATCACTGGTCAGAAGAGTGAACACAAGTTTCTTATGGTTTTAGGTTCTAATTAAAACTACTTAAAATAATAAGGAAAACATCTCTGCATGTTGAAAAGATGTGTGTTTTGATAAGAGAAAGTATAAGGAATGGAAATGAATTTTATTAAGGGTAAAAGAAGGTAACTTTGTTCTAAAGTACACCTGGTTATTTAAAGAGGGAGAACTGTGAATGTAAAAAAAGAAAGTTGTAGAAAGTTTGTGGAAGAATTGATATGGTCATGTTATGTAAAATTAAAGCAAATGAGTCTTGATATCCAGTTCACAGCAAAATTAGAATTTTATTTTCTCTTTGTTAAAAGGACAAAGTTTTCTTAAACTATTAGTCTGCTCTTAATGTTGAAAGATTGCAAAGGGTTTTCTAATAATTATATCAAAGCAGTTTCTCATGCCTAAAATCTCAATAAGTTAAAGGGCACAAATTCCCCTTCTCCTATGACACTACAAAGAATTTAACTACCATTATAGCTCTACCTCAACTGCAAAATACCTCCAATGTACCAATTCTCCATGCAAATAATCACAGATACGAAAGTTTTTTCAAAATCTGGGATGAATATATTTGGGTTACTCCAAAGGCAGAATGCTTAAATCAAAAGGCTCTCCTCTGCTGGTAGCAAAGAAACCATTCTAATAACCATTGCCCAAGCCTAAATATTCACTGATATTTAGGCTGGCTTCTCAAAGACCATTGAATTACTTTTTATATCACTTTTACTATTTCTAGGAAATTTTTCAAAAGAACCCAAGTCCTAAGTTTACATTTTCATTGACACAAACAAAACTGGCGAAGTCTTACCAAATGAGTATGTCCCAAGGTTTTGATCCATAAATATCATATGTATAGGCAGAGGAGGATAAGCTTCAGCCCTATCAATATCTCCATCCGTTTAACAATAAGAAACTTATAGAAAAAATAGCTTTGATTTTCAGACTGAAATGATGGGAACTAAAAAATTCCATGTTTATAAATACCTGCCTACACAAGGATAAGCAGCATATTGAGAATGACAACAGGTGGTTTTAAAGATTACTCATGCTCTGTGAGAAACAGTTGTTACATTTCTAGAACATTTTGGCTCTATTTAGGGTGTATGTGCATGTGCCAAAAGAAATTGGAGTCCAGGAAGAATTGCAAATTAAAAGACCCATGTTTTAAAAGTATGATGGCAGAATGTGCTTTCAGAAGCCAAAACAAGAGATTCATGTAATCCAAATACAGTTCCGAGTGGGCTGATATTTATGGCAGAGGTGAGCTTATCCTAAGTAACAATACAAACTATGTTTCTTAAACTCGTGTTCCACTGAGAATTTTGTTGCACAAAAGTTTAATGTTTGGAAATAGTGCATTCCAAATATGAGGTTATATAATGTGACTGCTTTGAAAATAAACTAAAACTGAAAAATAATAAGGTGTAAAACTTCTGTTTGGGTAAAGTTCCATACCTTGTACAGTGTTATTCTGCACTGTGGGTATCACAGCTCACAATAACCATGGTTACATTTTAACTGGAAAAAAAAATCAACCTGGGATTTATTAACAATTTTGGGCTCCTGGACTTTACTCAAAGAGGAATTATTTACCTTGACTACATATATAAATATAGCTAAGGAAAACCTTGCCCTTGATCAGCTACCTTCAACTGACTGTAAATCCAAACAATTGCACGAATGCTTTCTGACTCAGCTCTTCCTCAGCAGGGCTGACATGAGACGAGAGGGGTGGGGAACAGCTATCTGGAGTGTTTTCAGAGGCCATGGTGAACCTACAGTTTTCCATTTAGAATTAAGGGTCACAAAAATATAGCTAATTATAATAAAAGTTATTTTCCTTAAGGGGTATTATTGCCAGTCAATTCTGTTTTCCAGATGTTTAGATCATCAAGGGCCTGTTTATATTTCAATATTACATTACCATCTGTTGGTTACAAAAAGAGAAGGATAACCAGCAAGTCAAACCTTTCAAACATTACTTTGCAGAGCTGCTGTAAATTCCCGGCAGGGACAGTCAAAAAACAAACATCATCGTTTTACTTGAACTCAGTTTAGATTGGGAGCCACTAAACCAGGTAACATAAAAATGAAAACCTGCTTTGGCAGTAAACTACCAATTCGGTCTTTTCCCTTGGCCTTTAAAGGTCACTTCAATAATCTGAAGGTCTCCATGAAGCATTCTTCCCTTGCTGACCCTTATGTTGTTTAGCATGATGTTTAAACCCACTCATGACTGCATTTTGTAAAAATTGGCATCATCCATCATTTGGACTTTCCTGAGTCTTTTAACTACTGGTTCATGATATTTTGCCTCTCAATGCCATGATCCAGTGTCCTAGCTTGATTGAAAAAAAGAAGGCTGAGCAAGTTGTAATCATTCAGACTACACATTAGGGACCGAGCCTTGGAATTCCCATATTTCATGGTGTGGTGGGCACGGTGTCGTGTAACCTGCTTGCTAACTCACCCTTGGTTCCTTTAGAGCGAGTACGCAGCGTTTTATCTTCAGCCTCTGCATCCATCTGTAACATGAACACAAAGTCCTGAGGTTATTCCTTTGACATTGGCCAAAATATGAACGCATGTCATTAGAAGTTCTGAAGGTCATGCTGAAAACCAGAGTAGTCTTCCAAGCCCTTAAAGAGCATTCTGACTCTGCAGGGACAGAGCCAAAACTGCCCTCCTACCCTAGAAGTTTGGCAAATATGTGGACAGATGCTGGAACCAGAGCAAACAGTGACAGCAGGGCAGGTGTCCTTGTACCTAAGTGTTCGATTCAAACTCGTCTGGCATTACAGAAAACGAGGATTGTCTGATTCACAGTGGTTGTGAAAGAGGCAAAACCTCAAATGCCAAACTAAAGTTTTCAGACTAATTTTCTGAACCTGGACTCTTTTGCAGGTCTATAGCCTTTCTGAGATATATCTCTTCCTAAGTTAGGAAAAAATAACTCCCTGTGTTAAAAAACAACATGAAGACAAACCCCTGAAATGGTTTCATTTCAAAATATCACTGGAAACTTTGATCATCAACAGTGACATACATTTACTCCCAGAATTCCAGAATAAATGTTGGTCATAGTCATCGAAATATACAAGGAAAATGAACTTTGAGTGTTATGTGCCAATGTCAAATTCCCTAAAACATCATTACTAAATATTTTAAATGTAATCAAATGAAGTACTGATGGATGCAAAGACTTAAAAGCCTGTGGTTTTTGTCACATGGGATAGATGCTGACCTGACTACACTCATGCATTTCACTAGTACCCTCTGATCACCTCTTAGTTTAATTCACTTTTACACATTATCAGAAGGAATTTGTGAATCGAAAGAAGTTATTTTGCTTGCTGAAAATCTGAGGCAGGCAGAAGGTGCTCTCTGTGGCTCCCATCCTTAAATCCTGACACAGACGTGGATGCCGTGTGACTGCTATGGTAATAGGAGACGCATCTCTGCTCTCCGAGGCTGAGTTGTGATTGAAGGCACTGACCTGCCATAGACTTATAATAGGGGAGCAGGTGTGGCAATGATGGACTTTAATTTCCTTTAATAAACCTTTTATGTGCCACACTTTTACTGCCATTCGACACTCTCCAAGGTCCTGCACATAATAGGTTCATTACTTTTGATTACTATAGTCTATTGAGACAAACAACTCCAGAACACACTATATATTATGTTCAGTTAAACCAATATAGACTATTTATCCATTGTGCATTTTTTCACCTGCAACACTACAGACAAAATTAACAACGGCTCTCGTAAGCTAAAACTATTAAAACCACCAGTAGTCTTTTGTCATCATTTCATAATAAACACACCAATCACTGAACTGTTTTTAAAATTAGCAAACAAAAAGTGTTCACTGCTTTTGCTGAGCAGCAGTTGCTTTAGTATAAATAAAATGGTTCATTGTTATGAATATTTTAGAATTACATAATAAGGGGAAACAACAATAAAACCGAGGTGATATTTTTTCCTCTAGCTTTTCCTTCTTTTAAAATCATGTTTTTATGACAGATGTGATGCTGCCTAGGATTAAAGCGGCTTGGTTTACTTAGGGTGGTGAGCACTGTGTTGTGAAATCCTCCTCCTTCCTGAGCATCTCTGTTGCATATTAAGTGGCTCAAGTCCTGCAAACTCCCCTCCACACACTAAATGAATAACTTGGTTAAGAGAGATCAGTATCATGAGGGTTAAAATTATGATTACCCATTTCTGAGGAAGCTACTCCCATGAGTTAGCATCAACTCAGGACGAGTGTAATGTTATCCTGTCCACAGGTGCTGTTAGCTCTACCCACCTACACGGAACAATTCCCCCAAAAGGGAAGTGAAGGTCAAACTCCAGGAGTTTCTTTACCAAAACTGAAACACAGGTTGCCAGGAGTGCCAGCAGGCATATATAAAGGTTTTAGAAACCTACTTAAACATAACCTTCTTTACAACAGCTTTAAGTCTAATTATATTTTGCAATTCAGCTATCCCGTTGGACCTGACCAGTCTGTCACCACTCCCTGCAGTCGCCTCCCCATTAAAGTCATTGGAAGGAATGTGTAAATATTCATGGACTTCTGCTTGATTGTGTTTGGAATGCTAGCCTAATAAATATATCTTGTGGAGCTATTGTTCTCTTGTTAGTGTAGCATATATAGCCTATATAAACATTTTAAGAACTGCCAACTCACTCAAAAAGCTAAGTTTCCAAATTTAACTTGGGCCAAGTTGCGGGAGCAAAATGGATCAAGACCATAAATACAACCCATCTATTTCACTATCTCTCCTTCACACCTGAAGAACAATATAAGTTACTAAGTTCAGTGTCTAGTCATGTATTATGCCTCTTGGGAAATAAAGAACATCAGAGACCTAAAGCACATGTGCTTTTCTTCTTGTGGTGAAAGGTTTTAACATTATGAGGTGGCTCCCTCTCCTGATGTCAAGGTGTCAACTTGAAAATAGTCTTTGTTCTCTAAGGTCTTTTATGTGGAATTAGAAATTTCTCAGTATTCTTCATATGGATTATTCCAATGGACTTTAATAAATTGCCAATGGGTAGAGTTAATTTTTGTAACATCAAACCTCATATTCAGTGGATACCATGTTCTGGTAATGGTTCATGAAAGGTGAAAATAAATTTCTACCTCAAAGCATATGTTGAGACCTGGGGGAAGGTAAAGAGGGATGGCAGAGAGGGTGATGGTTACCATCCTTTCAAATTCTCCCAGTTACAGCAGAAGCACATGATTATAGTATGAGTCAGGATGCTGACCTAACTAGCATGAGGTGTAATCTTAAAAACTGCACTTCTCATTGGGAACATTGTTTGTTTGTTTTTTCTTTTGGAAAAGGAGACTTGATCATCTTTACTGTTTAGGTTCTAAAGGCTATTAACAATCCTACAATTAAATATGTAAAACTTAATGAATAATTTCTTTTCTTGAAACAGAGACTTGATTTCCTAACAAGCTGCACTTCTCCAGGTTTCTTAGGGCTTTTATCTGCACCATTCCATTGCTTATGGATGGGAACAAGGTATTTTCTGAGATTCCTATAATGGGTTCTTCTGGCTTTGACAATCTACTTCTCAATAGTGATAAAATATTAAAGGTAGGCTTTGCCACTTTTATTTTTCCTGATCTGAAACTACATTAAGAAAATTTCATTTAACCTATAAGTATAGGTATGCTATGTTTAATAGTTATATAGAGAGAAGAAAAGTGGCTCCTGCTTAGCATCTAATTCATAATAAAGCCATGAAGAAAAATTTTAAAAGACTTCACTCCCCAGTTTTCTGGTGAGAGGCATTAATACAAGGAGAAACAACAGGAGGGAAAGAAATGTTTAAAATTTCTCTAAAATATCTTTAATGTTTAATTCCTTTCAAAGAAGGAAAACTTGGAGGACAGACATGCCAGAATCAACAGTGAAATAAGCAGATAGACAATGAAGAAGAAAAATGATCATAAAATAAAATTTAACTACTTAGCAGAATTTGGAAAGCTCTAATTTCATACCTTTATATACTTACATACCTGAATACAGGTGTACAAAGTAATTTCCTAGTGACTATACTTTTCTCACTGGCACTCACATTGGAGCATTTGGCATTTCTGTCCCACCCAGTGCATAGATCTGGACTGGCCTTGGTCCCAGGAAGAAACTCAGGGATTGTGCTGTGGTGGAAGGAGGAGCTTCAAGGAGTAGGACACAGAACTCAAGGACTCAATTTTGCTTTCATTCACACACATAAATTGCTGTTACAGGAGGAAACTTAGTTTTCTTTGTTTTTTTCACTCAACACCCTATTTTAACCAAATTCAAAAGGAAAATTTATCCAAGCAAATATTTAATTGCTTCTTAAAAACTGGGTAAAAAAACAATCTCTTGATGATGTTGAAGTTTTATTTTCCATTCAACAGAACCCTAGACACTGATTCCTCAGCATAAATTGATAAGTAATCTTGAGTTTCTTAACATCAGTAGAAAAAGCCATGATGACAACGTTCTGAGGATACTTTCTCAGAAAGCTTGTACAATTAATACTGTCTACTTATACATAATCTCACACCAGTAGCTACTTTTGAGAAGTCTCTCACACACAATTTGCAATAATTTCCACTTTTAACAAGATTTCACTGTGCTCCTCTCCTGATGGTTTAGAGCTGGCAATGCAGTTTTAAATGTTGTGACACATTACTTGTGTTCATGTAACCCTGGGGACCTCATGATATGGTGAGAGGAAGTTCCTTGGCTACATCCTCTCCACAAGGAGCCCTTTATTCTGAGTGGAGTCTTCCTTTACAAAAAAAAAAAAAATCAGTTTAAAAAAAAATGACGAGAAACTCAGGAAGTTGGAAAGGCTAACCCAGAAAATGAAACAACTGGATGATGAAAGTACTTGGGATGAAATTTGCCCAGATTGAAGGACAAAGAACCTACAATGAGAGCCCCTTCTTTTGTGACTCTGGCATCATTTTAACTTAAACACAGCCTTGGATCAGCCTAAACTGCAGCAAAGGATCCTTCCCCGTTACACAGGAAGGGATAGATAACCGTGTTGTGATACTCACTGAGGCATACTGAAGTAGAAGGCCATGTATGTGTCCTCCCTGTTCTTGCCCTTTCTGTAATTTTCTGGTTTTCATTTCATACATTTATCAATTGCTCAGAAAAAGTAGTTTAGAGAATAAACTTTTTAAAAATGTAAACTAATAGAAACAAGGCTTTTTACATCATCTGTGATGTCATATTAATAATTCCTGAACCTTTTCTGAATCCTTTATTTTAACATGAAAATTTTTCTGAACCCTTTATTTAGGACACCCAATCCCTGATTTCACCCCTCTTTTCTTGTATGTCCCTAATCATACTGTGTTTGAGTCTGTAGGGAAAGCTGGAGAATTGAATGACGTGTACTCTTTAAATTTATGGCATCCCACTGCCCCCTTCTCCCCATCCACCCCAACAGACACCACACCTAAAGGAAGAAGCAGGTTCAGTCCACCATCAGATGAAGTACATCTCTGGGAAATTGCTTTTCTGCACACACAGTCCCCACAGATGAGGCAATTTCCAAGGGGAATTCTAGAGTCATTCATAAATGCACCGCAATAGAAAAAGCCTCATTTGAGACAACCTTGGGTAGCTTTATGAGGAGACTGACCTATTTTGATTCTTATCTCTCCTTTCTGAGTTGTCACAGCCATTGTATACTTAGTCCTGTAACTTTGTACAACTGGCAATGCTGAATATAAACCAAAGCCATATGTTTGTGTCTTTTTGCCAAACAACTCCAGCAAATAGTTCTATTATTCCCTTAGGTAGCCTATGTGTGCCAAGGATTTCTATTAGATGCCGTGCCATGGCCTCTGAGTCACAGCTTTGTGACATAGGGGGGCAATAGCCAGCTTTATGTTTGAAGAGACATTTTTGTGTTTTTTAAATATGCAATGCTGAAAGATAACTCAGAGTAAGTAACACCCTAAAAGGGCCTTAAAATTTTTTTCTTGCTGATATTTTGAGATGCATTTGTTGCAAAATAAGTAGTTGTCAGAAAACAAGCTCTTTCATATAGGGATAATTTATTATAAATAGATTTTATGAAGGACAATGCAATTCCTTACTTTTCAGTGTTGGTAGAAATTAACTCTAGATGTCATCTAATCTGCTTTTAAAAACATTCTTTTATAATATCTCACTTATTTACTCTTAATCCTTAAGTAAACTAATTTCTAATGCAAATGCATTCATATTAGATTTTAAAAACTTTTAATACTGAATCTTTCTTATAGGGAAAATGTGTGTGAACACATAACACACATACTAATCAATATGCAAAATGATTTGTAAGCTCAGAGGACATCACCTGCTTAATATTTTCAATTATTAAAGCGACCATGCCTCTGACAAAAAAAAAAATTCTAAATTTGGCACTAACAATCAACTTCTTTCAAAGCAAATCCACACAGATGAAGCACTGCTATAGAAGGGATTCTTTATATGAATGCTTTGATTGGATCCAGTTTATTTCAATGTATTCTGCTTTTTAATAAACAATACTGTCTTACCTCTTTTTCTCCAAGTAACTTTTATTCCAACTCGGTTTTCCCTGCTCCGCCCAAGTGACTAAATGTCTTTGTCCACTTCAGTGAGAAATCCTGAAATTCATTCTGTTAAAATAAAAAATAGAAGGAGCACATATCAGGTAGAACAAATTAAATAGAAGATTAATAATAAACACTGAAGTGACCAATAAATGATGCATGAGCACTTTTAGCTGTAATTTGATTGGTCTATAAACAGAATGAAAAGCTGTATACTACATATCAGTGGGAACAAGATGTTTAAAGGTTACTCAAGTTCATTTTTGTCATCAATACCAAACTATATATATTATGTCTTCAATTTAACAGAGAAATTGGATAAGAGGGGCTCACACTTATTACTGTTACTTTTACTTTTAGCCATCAAAAGAAAAAGTTCGGATGAGATTTAGGATGTGCTACTCTCAAGAAGTAATGAAAGACAGATTCAAAGCTCATCCTTTTCTCACTGAGGGCTCCCTTAATGAGGCTGTCATAAAATGCTGCTAATGCTGTTTGCCAATATTTTAACCTGTTTTCCATGGAAACAATTTGCCCTTGGCTGCTTCACCTCTGTTTGGTCCCAGGGATGGGAAGAGAATCTATCTTCAGGCCATTTGGCCCTTGAGAGAAAACTTTGAAACTCAGGGTACTAACTCAGCAGGCTAGAAGGGGCTATTTGTACAGAAATCACATGTAACAACACACATTTAAAATGTTGGTATTTTAACACACCCGCCGCACCAACCTTCCTTGCAGAAGATTTCTATCGTCCTGTATTTTACCCTTTGCAGTAGATTAAGTGCCCGGTTTTTTAACCATAGATTCCTGTATCGCTTTGCTTGTAAGCTTTGACGAGACATTAAGCAGATGCTTCTTCAACTCAAGTCAGCCACTGTGGTTCCTGGGGAAAACAGGGATAAAAAAACTCTCTCAAGTGATAGAGCAGATCACCGCACATGATGGAAGAATGGAAAGCAGTTGCAGGAGTTTGGGAATTCTTAGTGTGTGTTTGATTGCAACTTTAAAAAAGAAAAAGGAAAAGAAAGGCTTTCTCTACAAACATGTTTGGCTTATTCTACTTCGCCTTCAGTTCAGAAAGAGTTCTGAAGCTTCCCACCTGCCTATTCCCTTTTGTTTGCCCTACTCTAACCTAAAACAAAAGATCCCAGAACGCAGTCACACTGGTGAGCAAAGCTCTTTCTAAATCCTGAAAGTAATGGCTTTCTGTCTAATACCCTATCGTGTTATGTATTTATTAGCAATACATTTTCCATTTATTTTCTCAAAGATTGCCAATAAAGAACTGAATCACATAAGGGAGTAGCTGTAAACCCTCTGAGTTCCCTAATGTCAAACTCATTAGCATCCGAATAAGCACACAGCAGAGCATCGTCTGCACAATTGCCATTTTTTACTACTTTTAATAGCGTTTCTCCAAGGGCTCATTTTCAACTTTCTTCAGTGGTTAGTTGGTTCTCAAGGGAAAAGGCGCTTCCTGACGCTGGCAGCTTCCACTCAACAACCCGGCCGTTTGCTGTCAGATGCATCAGCCCTCCGCCCCGGCCCCATCTGCTGGCCCTCCCCTCCCTGGGGAGCAGAGTTAAGGAAGCACAGCTGAGGTCGACTTGGAGGCGTGCACGGAGGGCGCCCACAGAATATAGGTTCAGAAACAGGATTTGACACAAAATGCTCGGTAAGTCCAGGTACACCAAAACACAAATGGGAATGGTGGCCCGCGGAAGGCGCCCCCATGGCACGCGTTTATCATTAGTTAACTCCACCCACCGTTTTTGGGAAACACTCTGGACTGATCCCCAAAGGAATCTTGTACCGAAATCAGTTCCTTCCGCCGCCTGCCTGTGCCCTGTTATTGTATCAGGGATAGACCTTTAAAACCCCATTTCATTCACTGCCATACTTTAATCTCTTTTACTGATCTTAAACCATTTTATAGAACTTATGGACATACTAAAATACAGAAAATAACACGTTGTAGAAGACAGTTAACCTAAGACTTGGAATCTTGACCACATTCCCACCACTTGCAACTGTTAGTTCTATAATGCACCCACCAGGATGAACACTTTTTCACTGAAGCTCATATGTTTATGAAACCACAGTCTTAGAAGATGAAAGTCTATGACATCCAAGGTGTTAGTCCCCTAATGGGCTACACCATCCTTAAGTGTGCTGTCTAATTAAGACATGGCTTTACTTGTTAAATGAAATCATCACACAATACTCCATTCGTCTACTTTACTAGATGCCAATAACTAGGGACTCTGCCTTCACAGCGGCTTCATGGGTAAGAACCTGTTCCGGAGAAAGGCCTTTAACCTTGCGATACAGTGTAACAAATCTGCTCTTATGAAGTTCTATTTTATTGGGGGAGGGGAATGACCTGGAGTGACACGATGTGTATGTCAATGGTCTCTTATGCCTCAAAAACCCACAACATTAAAACTATGCTAAACTTCAAACTAAAAGTGAAAAATTTGATGAACTCAAATAAATTGAATATGAAATGTGGTAGCCCTGTAGCCCTGTGATAACTAACAAGAGCTCACCACAACCACCAGTTTCTTTTTGGAGTTTGCTTACCAGATGCTGTATTTCAGTCAGGATGGAAGTACACTGCAGGTCCTCTCAGAAGTTTGTAATGTTAAATGCAAGATCCAAAGACCACTCTCAGATTTAGTTTCTTAATGAGTAAAATAAAAATAAAAGAGTGCCAGCATATTTACCTTAACATTGCTATCTTTTGAGGTCCTGTCTCCATAATTTCTAAGAACATACATCTCTAAACTGTCCTCTAACTTGAATATTGTCACCAATTGTTAATTAGTTGGCATGATGAAAAAGGGGGTTTATCCTCACTGGACTTATTTCTATAAATGGTAAAGCCAAGTTCTTTACAGTTCTAAGTTTCCAGGTTTCTTTTTATATTAATCAGCACCATCACTTAAGTTAGAGTAAAATTTTGTACAAACTTTAATAATACCTTTACCTAGATAGGTAATTGAATTCTTCATTTTTCCATTTGCCATGTTGCTCCATTAAATTTCTAATGAAAACTTAAGTCCCTATTTTGGACTTTCTAATCGATGAGCTATAGAATTGTTTTTTTTTTCATCATAACAAGAGATTTTATATTTAGAAATTGATGCACAAAAATTATGTTAGCAACTGCCACTTGATATTTAGGTCCATCAAAGGTGACTTTCTTTTAAATTTGGTATATCCAATTAATTATTTGCCTTCAAGATCATTGTGTCTGATATTAATTTGCACATTGGTTTTCTTTAATAAGAGTTTGGTGTATATTTTACAATTTTTTACTTTCAACCTTTCTGTATTCTCAGGTTTTATGTGTGTCTTTTGTAAACATAATATAGCTAAAATTGTTTATTGAAAAATAAAAAAGATGACTTTCTTTTGCTTAGTTTTCCAGGTTGATATTAGGGAATAGGCTTCATTGGCTATAGGAAATGAGGAGTAGTGAGTTTCATTTAAGTTGTTTGAGGCAAAGGAAAACATTGCTTATGACCACAAGCTTCTACATTTACCATCAGCCCATAATTAGGCACCTGATTACAACTGTAGTAGAAAAAAGAGCTTCATCAAAACTGAAACTACTCTGCAGGAAAGACAGCCCCATTGCACAGGAAGTCAGTGTTATCACTTACTTTTAGGAGCATTGCTTTGGGTTTTAAATCATTGCATATTCAACAATACGATTTCTTTGATATTAGCAACCAAATTGATTTTCATGTTCCATTTTGAACCTTTTTTCCTTCCCTGAGTGATCACTGAAGTTCAAATATTATAAAAAATTATTATTCAATAGTTTGTCATTTTAAAAGAAGAATAAAAATAAGATTTTTCAATGTACAAAATTTCCATTGATGGACTTAATTGATTTTTACTGGTTTTCTTAGCTTTTTGAAATCTGTGTCCTATAGAATCTTTCAAGGAAATTTAAGTACAAGGTGTTCTATGGCAACTCTGACCTCCTCCCAGAAAATGCAATGTTTGCTCTGCAAATTGCTGAAGTCATACAGAGCATCAAAATAACTTCTGCTTTCCACTGTGATAGATATTTAATAATTGTATTTGTCCTTCCCGTACCTGTAGAAATAAAACACAGGCCTCTCCTCCTTATGCTCTGAAGCAGTGTCAATAACTTGCTCAAGACCTTTATGTCTCTCTGCAAGAGGATTTAACTTTCACCTGATTTAAGTAACAAAATAGCCCTCAAAGATACTCAAGTCCTCCCTGCAATTAACATAACTGCATTTAAGATGCCATTCATGACTGGTAATTCCAACACCTTGTGGGAAAAAAAAAAGTTGCATGCCGTAAACATTATAAACATATTCAAATAAGCTTAACACAATCTGCCATGCTTATTTCTGCCTAGATCATGGACCAGCGAAATGGTTAATGCAAATGGATTTATAATTTGCTTTGGGGGGCCAGTTTCTTCTCCTTATTTATTAGCCCAGCTGATGGGGCAGATTTGATGAGGCACTTCTGGAATAATTGAGTCATCACACAAAGAAGGCTGCTAGCATTCAGAGTGGTTTTATCAGCAGCAAGCAGGCCTGATTACTGACAATTACACTCTGATCCGGTGATGGAGGAGAAAGAGCCAACGAGTGGGAAATGTCCGTGTTTCTATCCAGGAATAATTTCTACATTCATTTTACATGCTAAGTGTTTCCTATCTCTGCATAATAAACTGTAAACAGGAATAGATGGCACAATGTCCCTTAATATTTCCTGGTAATGAAGACACAAATGTACAGTGAGTGCTGATAAATATAGATGAAACATAAGCTATTCTCCTAGTCTGTATTGTTACCTTTAAAACAAATGCATTTTTGTGGTAAAAGCATAATCATAGCTAATGCAAAAAAATGACAGAAGATTGAAACTGTCCTTGTAACTACATAGAAACTTTGTAAAAGTCCTGTTAATCACTGCTGCTTTAAAGGCTCAGGAACTGAAGGTGAGATACTAGAAACCACATCATTTTGTTTTTCAACAGTCATCTGTGAAGAACTCCCTGGA